CACACCCCCAAACATTTAAAAATATCCTGGACTTGAAATAGACTAACACAGTAACATTGCCACATCAAGAACTTGGGAGCTTGAAGAGTTAGATATCTCTATATCTCTAGATATCTCTATTCAACCTGAATTTGTCCTACCTGTACAGAGGGTATACATTTTAATAATGGATTTAGATGTCGTGGGATGATTAATGAAGTAACCAGAAAATATATCTAGACTTCTCCACTAAACTTCAGCTGTTTTTCTAGTCAACACATGCTAGATTCCCCATAAACGCCTCATTTCCCTTTATTCAGACAAAATTATCCACAGCAACTTGCTAAAATGTTCTGTCTTGACTTTGTTGTTTCAAGTGTGTATTCCCAAAACCCGTGACAAGTTGACAGCTTTTCCCAGCTGAGGTGCTGGTGGGGCTGAGGCCGAATCCAGCCTTCCCTCTGGAAGCCCCTCTGGGAGATGGGTGCCTGCAGTGCTGGCAGACCAGCAAAGCATCCGCTGTGACTGCGGTCATTCCAGCTGTTACAGAGCAGCTGGACAACGTTTTTTCAGGTCACAGCTTCAATGGAGATGCTCGAGGATCACCAACAGGTTTTTGGCTCTAGCTGTTGCCTTCGTGGGCATGCACAATATTGCAGTTTGCATTTTAAATTATTTATTTATCATAAAAAAAGAATGCCAAGAACAGAGCTCGGTAAAACGCCTGCTTATCTTATGGAAAAACTTGTCTGAGCTCTGTGTGATGATGTGTTTGTGTGGCGTGGGTGAACAGGACCAAATACTGCATTTTACTAAGTTTTTTTCAGACATGCAGTAGCTGCTGGTGGATAGTTACTTAAGGCTATGCCGCTTAGAAGGCGGCACTTTTTCTACTAACATGAACTCATGACAGGGCATAATATTTTTATAACATTACATCAGGTATTTAGTTTCGAGACTGAACCACTTGAGTTGAACTGGGAGAGTGAAAATACGATCTGCATTGCCATCTACTGGATTTCTAGGGAAGTACGAAATATGATTTCATACTGCATTTAAAGTAATTTAAAATGTAACTACTTGAAAGAGACAGAAATCTTTATAAACTTTTTATAGTATCTGTGCAGACAGAGCATATATATGCAAATTCACTATTTTGTAGCTTTCTACTCTTCAGCATATATGTTCAAATATTTTAGATAGGTATTTAAAACAGCAAAATAGAATTTAATATATGATTTCAAGACAGCAAAGGAAGCAACGATATACTCTGTTAAAAATTACAAACTTGGACTGTAATTTCAATGATTAAAATTATAAGAAATTCAATAAGAATATAAATATATATCTTGGTCCAGATCCAAAGAACACAACAGTATAAATGATAATTTCTCTGTGGCTTGATGTAACACTTTTTGATTAGTCAATGTTATAAATGGCCTCAATGTTCATTGTTTGTCCTCCTAATTATATCAGTGAGCTGTCTGAAAAATTTACATTATGTAAGGTATTTATCACAAATATTGTCCAAGGCTTAAAGTTTTTGCTAAATGAAGTATATGAAGATGTGAGTAAAGCTTTGAAGAATTGCCTATCAGTATTTTTTTTACTGGTTTACACTGTCAAAGTAAAATAACGAATATTCAAATGAAAATATGGTATATGTGTAGCACAGCTGAAGCAGGGTTTTTTGTGAAATGCCTTTGAAAAAAAAGGAGGAGGAAGCCATCATGTTTTCTGGGAATAAAAAACAGTAGCAACCTAAATATATCTTGAGTTATATGTATATTGTAAAAGTGAGCGAGTTGAATCTTTCCCTGTAGACATGCAAAGTGTGTATTGGTTTTTGTGTACTCTGGGTGGTGATGCTCACCCCTCTTAGGTGCAGTAAAGTCCCAAGCAGCTCAGTCTCTTCCAAGTATTTTAGCAACAGGAGAATGTGGTTTAGTCATAGGAGATGTGATGTGCCCAAAGATTCTCCCATAGTGGGATCTTTTTTTGCTCATGCATCTGTGGCACGCCTGTGAGTGTGAAATAGCAGCACCCTCCCCAGACACGTCAGCTCGTGTGGATGCAGCTTTTTGTTCAGACTGGTGGGAGGTCTGCACAAGAGAAGCACTGCAATAATGTCTCAGAGTAAGCTAATCCTGCAGGTGCCCTTCACTTCGGTAGCAGAACCAGACAGATGTTTGGGTGCATGATGAAAAAATCACATGGGTATATGCAGATACGCCTCTTAGTGGTCTGGTTGCTCTTTCTCTCAGAATTGGTATCTGCTTCAAGGGTCTACCAAGCCATTATATCATCTGCTGTTATGTCTTCAGTCTAACCTTTTGGTGCTTGTCTACGTTAAGGAATATTTAATTGATTTAAATTTTCCTTGCATCTGATGAAAATGTGCTCAATAGCCTGGAAGTTAAGGACCAAATCAAAACCCATCATCTTTATTTTAGTTCTTGCTTAATACTTAATATACTTCTATATATGGCAAAACTATTGAGAGGGATTTGCTGCAACCATTATAGAATAGCCAGAGATACAGAAATCCAGCTTTTTCCTCAAAAAGGTAGGAAAGGTGGTTAAAAAAAGAGCCAATTGAATCAGACCTGCTGTGAACTGGGTAAGATTCTTTCTGCTCTGTGAAATGTGCAGTCATTTTCTTCAATTCCATTCTTGCTATAGATAAAATGTCAGCATTTCCTCAGTAGTGCCATGTATGATATGCAAGATAAAGATTTCAAACCCCTCAAAATAAAATGTGTCTTACATGGATTCAGAAATTTAAAAATTTATGAACGAGTAATACTTTTTTATAAAAAACTTTAATTTCATCTCACTTAAATTTTGTCCAGTTTGTGGCAGGTTCATTTACCTCGTGGTGCACACAGAAGGACAAAAACATATTTGTATTAATACTCTTCCTATGCTTCATTTGAGATAGGAAAAGTTCAAATGTAGATTGTCTAATTGGGAAAGAACAGGAAAAGGGGCAGTGCTTGCTGTTATCTTCCCTTTCCATGTTTGTGAACAGCCAGGGCTTTTGGTTATACTTTAGTGGAGGAGAACTGAATTTAGTTTCCATGGTTTCATTTTTAATACAATATTTGATGTAATAAGAAACTTACCTACAGACCTCGCCATTATTTAATTGCATTCTTTAAGTTGGTTATTATAAAAATTCCTGAATGTCTTCAGTTGTTTTTATGCATTATAAGTGAGCAGCTGTATAAGATAAGTTAATTCATATGTGTAATCCAGTTATATGGCCAAAAGTATTAAGTTTCTTCAGTATTTTGCTTAATTCTTTGACCTACTTTTCTCATCTTACTCAATACTGCAAAGGTTTTTTTAAGCAGGTTAGTAAAAAAATAAAACAAAACAAACCCCTTTGCTGCTTCTGCCAAGCTTTTTATTTGCATAAAGAATTAAGTATAATGCATCATGTTTGTAGTTAGGGAGAATAGATTATTTGGCTGCTTAGCTTTTGCTGTTGCTGCATTCTCACTAGAATGCACCCATGTGAAGTTACTTGTTTTAGTGTGAAAGCTGCTTGATGTATGTATTTACAAGCAATAATATTCCTGTCCAACTGAATTATGTGTATTTTGCCACAATTCCTGTGAGTTAAGGTGAATTGTCATTTTTTAGCCTTGAATATCATGTTAAAGCAAAAATACCCACTTCACCAAAAAAGTATTTCATACAAAGAACACGAATTACTTACATCTTAAAACTCCAGACAAGTTCACCACACACCCACTCACACACGCACACACACCCACAAGCCCACAGAAACATGGAATTCTGACACTAAAAATACACTGGTTAAATGGTGTGAGTCTCAGTGCTAATTAAGGAAGTAGGTAGCTCAAAGCAGAGATAAAGGATATCACCAAGACCTCTATAGACAACACACCTGCTGTTTCCATTTATTAAACTCAAGATTCCCTGTTTCTATTCACAATCTGTGTAGTGGCTCATGATTTTAACATGTTATCCATGGAGATGTAGATTTGAAGCAACATCTGGAAAAGCCTGAGTTCTACATAGCACGGTGCAAAGACCAAGTTTTGCCCTTCTGGAATCTCCTCCCTAGGCTGTCTCAGGTCTTTTTGAGCTGTGATTAGGAGGAGAGTCTGTTGTGTAGCAGCAGATGGTGGGCATAGGGTCCAGTGTGTTTGTTATTTGGGGCAGCTGGAGGAGAAGTGCTGCTTCTTTGAGCACCAGTCTTCATCGCTGGAACCTTTGTACATGCTAATGTTTCTGTATGCTCCTACAGCTGAGCTCTGTAATGAGGGATAGCAAACCTTAAGTAGTCTCTCATATTTAACAAGAGAAAACACAAGATGGTTAATATATAAAATTGAATAAAAAGATGTTCTCATATTCTTGTAAGGTCAGTGTAGAGCATGTTTTGAAATATTTGTTACATGTGTTAGTAATCTAGATTTTTAAAGCACTGAAACTGGAGATTGATTTGCATATTTTGATTACACCTGATGTATAAATTAAGTTGGTTATAAAGATGCAAATTTGATCACACAATTATTTCTTTTCAGTACATGGTAGGCATTTTTGTTTATATGCATTTGGATCAATTTCTGGTCAAGTGAAATGATTTGCTTGTAATCTTTGAAGTAAACCTTCAAAAATAAAGATGTCTATAATTTTTTTCCTTTAGATTGCCTGATACAGTCTTCTGTGTGCAGTGTGTATTTGATATGAGGTACATGTAATATTGTGAACAGGCCCAGAATATTAGGTAGAGTTTCAAACTGAAAGAAATGCAGAGCAATAGTCTTTCCTCCTATTCGTGCTATATAAACTTTTTTCTCATCTATGCAGGAGGTTGCATCAACAATTTGAAAGCTATAAAGAGCAAGTAAGAAAGATAGGGGAAGAAGCCCGCCGTTACCAGGGAGAGCACAAGGATGATGCTCCAACATGTGGAATCTGTCATAAAACAAAGTTTGCAGATGGTTGTGGCCATTTGTGCTCTTATTGCCGGACCAAGTTCTGTGCTCGATGTGGAGGTCGTGTCTCTCTGCGATCAAACAATGTAAGTCTTCTGACGTGTACTCTTAAGAAAAAGCCTCCTTGACATTGCCTTGCTGCAGATTGTTCACCTTAAGTTTGGTATTTCATGCTTCATTTTACTTAAGTGTTTCATTCATTGCTTCATTATGAGGTGTGTATCATACGAGTGAATCAATGTAAAATTATGCAAGTAAAACAAATGTATTTAATGATTACCAAGGTACTTGGGAATCACAGAGTTAATTAAAGCAAAAGAATAATAGTGTCTAGTTCTGTGGAGTGACAGCTTGCTGCAAATATACTTGTTTTTCATAGAATAAAAGAAGAAACCCTTTTGCTCAGGTACAACTCCACATTAATAAATTCTTATTGAAGCCTTATTTAGTATTGCATTTTTTTTATTTTTATAGAGCTTTTAATAAACATTTATAGTTTTCTTTTACATTAAATCTGTCAATTTTTTGTTTAAAAACCCCCACTTTTCTTGGCACAGGGGAAGTGTTACACCAATTTATTTAAAATTTATTTAAAAATAAAACTTCAGATTAGTCTGATTTAGGCATCCTACTTTCAGGCAGGTGAACTGAATAGTTCTTCCTCTGATGAGTTAGCTGCAGTAGCTTTCCACAAAACCAGATGATATCCAAGAGTACTCTGGTCAGTCAGTCCCACAAGCCTCTGACTGCTCTCTTGTACATGAGCAGTAGGATCTAAATTTGGAATGCTTTCATCCAGTGGTTATTTTTAGCTGGTCATCAAGGACTATGGTGTGTTATAAAACATTTTACACATCTCTTTTTATTACATGAATAGTTTTGTTTTCTGCCATGAGATGAGGCAACTTGGCTTTAAGATGCCAAGCTTTTATAAATTTGTAGGTGCTCTTGGTATTAGCACAGATTCACTTAAAAGTGAGTACAGATTTTATAGTAGATAATCATTTCCACAAGGGAACTAGTTTGTGACCTTTTCACTTTCTTTAAGATGGACATCAGTTGAATAGGCCTTCTGAAATAAATTTCATGCAAACCAAAAATAACCCCTCAAAAAGATGCATTTCATGGTTATTTTAGAAGTTTTCCATAGCCTCAATGTACCTGTGAGTCCGTTAAATTAAATTCACATTCTGAAGAAAACTATATGGGTGAATGTAATGAAAATTTGCATGTATCAATATATTAGTAAAAATAGATGCATGAGATTGTATCACCTGTAGGTGGTGTCGTTAGAGCAAGTCACTGAAAATATAGTTTGCTTTGATGTATTACATTATTCTATTAATGACTGCATGTGATACTGCTTAACTTTATTAAAAAAAAAGTTGAATATATATTTTAGCCATTTTTCACTCACTATTTCAAGCCACAGAAATGGAAGAGTGTCATTTCATTTGTAAGTTGCATTTTGTTTCTTAAATTGTTTATGCTTCTGTGGGTCAGGATAGGAAAACATGTTTTCAATATATGCAGTAATGTCATCTTTTTATTTAAAGCTCTTTTTTTCCTTAATTTTGTGTTTTTGTCTATTCATAGAGAGTTATTAGCATTGCACTTCTTTGAAATCTGTCTATTAATACTTGCCTATTTTATTCTTTATCTCTTCTTTTTTTCTTTTCTCTTTTTATTCTGCTTCCTTGGATGCTTTCCCAAAGGAGGACAAAGTGGTTAGAATCCATGCTTTTTATAATTTATTATTATAATGTTGTTAGTTAACTGGGATACATATTAATGTGAAAAACTGAACTGAAATTTCATAATCATCCAGAGGGGAGGGGGGAAAACAGGAATCCTGACACCCAGGCCCTACACATCCCTTAGCTGAACACAGGCCTAAAGACTCCTCAACAAGGAAACCCAAAACTGTTGTCAAAATTATGACAATAGAAGAAATTAAGAACTGAGATTTATTTATTGGCTAAAAAATAGGAGAGCCAATAAAGTGTAATACAATTTTATTTCATAAATACATCTTTAGTTAACAGTTTTGATTTTTTGTGTGCGAGGTCCTTCAATCAGCGTCAGGAAATCTAATTTAGTCTTTTAATTGTAATTTTGCATTGTTTTATATGGCTTCCTGTGTTTCACTTCAGGCTGCAGCAGAAATTTAAGGAATTCTTGTAAAATCAGCTTTTTGATTTGACATTTTGCATAATATATAATAGGCAAACAAACTGACATAAGTATAGAGAGCAAGGTGGAGTCCTTTTTGAATGGATAGTTATGATTTCAAAAATCTGCAGAACTTTAAGGATCTAGTAGAGGCATATTCACCAGTATTGCCTATGCCTTGTCTCAAATAGGTGAGGGTAGTTTCCTGCTCATCTCTGCACTCTGTGCATGGCATCGGGGCTGGCAGTACTTGAGCAGAACAGTGCATGTGCATTTACCACCTCTTCTGGGGCAGCTCTGCAAAGGTGCTAGTCCAGATTTTTAGTTGGAGGATTAAGTGTGGAAATTAGCTAGCTTTTCTGGCACCTCAGCTGAAACAAGTGTACATTAATTACAATCCAGTGTAGTTTTTGATGTGTTCTTTCTTGAGTTGTGCTTGTGATATGAAGTGGTGTTATGCTCCCATTTGAACACTACCATGCCTGTAACCTGAAATTTAGTACTGTTCAATACCTGGAGAAAATTATTTCTATCACATTTGAGTTTTGTAATAGGTTTTTTATATGTCAGTATTAGTGCTACTCTGAAGATATATTCTGAAGACATATCTGACTCATTTGAATTGTCCTAAATTCAATTAAATACATCCTTATTATTTGCACTTGTCTTAGTTTAGATTTTCCTGAAGGTTTCGGTTACTTTAGGTGTTTAATACCAGGTTTCTACATGCCAAGAAAATGCCTTAGTAATAATGTTTGAAAATAAATTCTATATGGTGTGATATAGCAGAGCTACAACTCTTGAACAGCTAAAAGGTTAATGGTAGTCCGAGGGAAAGTATCAATAACAAATCTTGAATGTGTGAGAGACAAACTTCTTTAAAGTACAATTACTTTAGCAGTGCCTCTCTCTGAAAGTTAATGGAATATATAGAATTAAATAATTTCAAAATATTAATACGTACCTAGAACTAACATGTTTTATAACAGAACAATTGGTATAATTAAAATATAGCAACATGAGAAAAATATTATTTCTTCAACATGAGAAAAATATTATTTCTTAATTATTTTGAGTGGCTCAATATTCCTGCCTAATGTATGGCAAGTTTTATATCAGTAAAAACTTCTACAACATATTTATCCCTTAGTGTTTCATATTTATCCACACGAATTTTTACCACAATAAATTATATTAATACAGAACATGTGTGCCAAGTTTCTTCAGGTGAAAGGTGCATCATTTGAAAAGGATGATGAAGTGTCAATTACCAAAATGTCAACTCAGGAAAAGTCAAGAGTTAACCTAGATTCGAGGTGTTTCCTGTACAGTTGGAGAATTTATGACACCTCACCTGAGGTGTTGCTTCCCGTGCATTACCCATCTTTAACAAATACAAACTGTGATAGGCACAAAGAAAGTCAGTCAGAGGATGATCCAGGAAATGGAGAGCTGTTCATGTGAGAGAAGGCTAGAGAGCTTAAGGGGACAAGAGCTAAAGCAATTATAGTTGATGCAGAAAGTATGGAATTGTTATGTAGAAATGCAGAAAATTTAAACAATAAGAATAGAGGACAGTGAATACATGAGATCAAATGTGTATAACTTGGCCCTAAACACTCCTGGCTTGAAAAAATATGTTTACAGGCATTAAAGCCTTGAGAATTTATTTCATGTGGCTTACAGGAAAGAAAAAGAGCCCTCTAAAACTTTAAAGACTAAATTTAATGAGGTTAGGAAAGGATTTATGTGATGTGGTTGCTTGTGGCTGTAGGGCAATGTATAAGGTCTCTAAGGTCCCTTGCAGCTCTTGATTGTAGCTAAATATTTTAAGAATGTAATGCTTTGAAGCTGTTCTTGACCTTTTCAAGTTAGTGCCGAGTATTTCTTAAGGATTTTTTCAAATATATATAGCAGAACTTAATATGTTCTCTCCTCATTTAAAATCCTAAAGGACATCCCAAAACACCTTGTAGTGAGAGTTAGTAGGCATCCTAGGCTGATCAAGAAATGACTCCATTACACTTACAAAATTAATTAGCGATAACTGACATATTCTAGTGGCTAATGAGTTGCATAAATTTCAATGATTTTTGTTCTAATATGTCAAAATGCATACCCAAATATGTTTCCTAAGTTCTTTCATGTTTTTTGAGTGTTGGTTAGCTCTTTGCACTTCTCACCTGAGTTTGCTCTCCGTTCATATAGTTGCAGGCAAGCCACGTTTAATGGGTTTAATTCAATTTTATGTGAGATGACACTTCTATTTTGGCAGAATATTCTAGGTGGTTTTAGTTTCTTATAGAGGGCCAACACTTATAACTTCGCTTCCTTTTAGTTATGTTCTGTACACAAAGATTTTAATTGCCAAAATGGTAGTGGGTTCAAGTTACTTCCCTCTGTTCCACTCACTCTCCCCTGTGATGTGAAATATTTTGGATTTTAGGGCAGTGGAGAAAGCAAAATGTCCAACTAGTTGTTATCCATAGTTTGGTAAGGGGTGGGAAGGGTCCAACCTCAGTCCTCCTGATGGCCTGGCTGCCACTCTGTTCTTCCCTGCCATGGTACCACAACCTGGTAAAGCAGAAAAATGACTGAAAATACAACTTTTTTTCTTTCCTCATTCCTGTAAAACTTTTTCACAGTATTTGGTTAGGTAATGCAAAAATATGTATTTCCTTTGTGATCACTTGAGACGTGTTTCTTTCTCCTGATAGAAAAGGAGATATATTTTAGGGTGCAAAAATGAATGAACAAATGTAGTTTCTTTGGGTCAAAATTCAAGTATTTCGTGAGGTGCTGTGGGTGTATTGAACTAAGTGAAATTTGTAGGACATTGACAGATTTAGGTGGAAGATCCATGATTAAGCCATGTAATTATCCATAGCAATCAGTCTACCATTGTACAGGTTTC